ATATGAGTGTAGAAGGAGTCACAGTGTAAGAGGGTATAGTGGTTCAGGCCAATAATTCCAGCACTCGGGAAGTGGAGGCAGGAGAACTGGGAGTTCGAGATCATCTTCCACTACACTGGGAGTTCAAGATCATCTTCCACTACACTGGGAGTTCGAGATCATCTTCCACTACACTGGGAGTTCAAGATCATCTTCCACTACACTGGGAGTTCGAGATCATCTTCCACTACACGTGAATCCAAGGCCAGCTGGGCGAGGAGAGACGCCGTCTCACAAAACAAGTCGGTTAACCTCAATCTAACACAGGTCTGCAGACATCAGCTGGGAATTACTGACAGCATCAATCACAGCGTACTTACCACAGCCACGGGGTCATTGCTCCTGGTGGCTGCAAGACTGAAATGTTTCACATGTGTGTTGGTTTCCAAAGTCTTAGCAAAATCTTTTAGAGTTGGAATTGGGATATTCTTGAAAGACAAAAATGTGAAACACCATCAACATTTTAGCTTCAGGAAGTTCAATCCATCAATCAAATACATTTATACTTACTGATTGATTAAAAACATATTCAGGAAGTATGCAAATAAGCAGCCTAGTCTACAAAGCAAGTTCTAAGATAGCCAGGACTACATAGAGAAACCTTGTCTCAAAACAAACAAACAAACAAACAAACAAACAAACAAACAGTAATAATAACTTGAAAAAAACAAAACAAAAAACCAGATCCCAGAAAGCCAATTTCTAGGCATTTGGTCAAGAGACACAAAACCCTCTATTTTTCAAAGGCCTCACATGTAAGTGTGTGCCGCCGCTTTACACATCACCATTCTAGAATGGAAGCAACCCATACGTCAACTACTGGACTCCGGGATGAACAAACCACAGCATGTCCCGGGAGAGAAGGACTCCACAGTGACAAAGGACAGACTAGTGGCGCCTACACAACACGGTGAGTCTCAAACGCGTTAGCCCAAAGGGAAGACTCAAAAGGCTGCAAACCCAACTCCATCTACAAGGCTGGAGAAGGCAAGATGGACGGGAAATAAATAACACAGGGGCCGAAGAGCTTCTGACGTTACAGGTGGGCTTTACATCACTTAGTCAGGCGTTTATTTTTGGTTTTACAGCTTGTCAGTGGTATTTTACAGCTTTACATCCCAGGACTGTACATTAAAAGAATTTTACTTAACTATATTAAAAATACCTTAATAAACCTGATTAAAATAAACCAAAATTAAATTAAATTTAATTAAAATTAAAACCAAAGGTGAAAGTTCTTAAAAGTGGGCAGTACTTCAAAAATGAGAGTAACTTACTGACAAGGGCCACATTCTTACATGATAAACTCTTTAAAAAGCAAGTAACAAAATATTTTCTATAATACTTGAATTACAAACTTTGAAGAAATCTATGTTTGTATACTGTTAGTATACTTGCCCTTAAAGCAGAAGTTACGACTACACATCGGAACTGTCATATTACTACCTGGGTTCAGCTGACTCAAAGCAAACATCACATGTGTTGATGCTGATACATATGTATATTGCATGCTTAACATACTTACTTTTATATTATTCAAATTAACTTCAACAAGACGGGAATCATTTTCCTTAATTCTCTTTAAACTCTCTTCAACGTTGGTTGGATTTGGAGGCTCATCAAACACTGGAAGAATCTTTTCACCTTTTACCACATCTGTAGGAACAAACGGAAGAGCAAGGGTTGACCGAGTCGGCTGGAATTGAGAGGAGACACATTAACCTGGTCATCTCTGCCCCCCTCCCAGGCCACACCATCAACACGTGTAGTCTGGAATCCCTTCTGCACAACTGCTAAAAGATCCTCTCTCTGTTGGTAGTCACCGTGTCACCACAGAAAGTGTTATGAGGAGATGACAAGGGAAGAGCAGGCCTGCTCCCAATTCAATCTAAGTTGGCAGCTTTCTTCCAGCTAGTGGAGCAAAGGAGGTGGAAGAGTACTTCTTCAATGAACGGAGGCTTGAGTGAGTACTCAGTTTTACAAAACCACAGACAGACTAGGTATATTTTAGGTCCAGCATCTAATAATGGCATTAGATTATGTTTTTAAAAAGTTCTTAATTTGTGAGACATATATATACATATAGGCACAAAGTAACAAAAATAAAGTCTGACTTTCAAAATAGTATCTGCTCAATGCCCTGCTACAACTACATGAAAGGTTCGTGAGGAACTGTAAGTGGATGGACCAGGCTGATGCCTGAACCAGCTCATCTCTTATTTTATTCTCTGCCTCCCTCCTCCTCATTCTGAGACAGTCTTGTCATGTAACCAAGGCTGTCGAGAACCTGGAATCCTCTTGCTTTAGACTCTCTAGTGCTGAGATTAGAATTGTGTACCTCCACGACACACATAGTTCCTCAATGATCAGTCTGAACAGTCTCCAAAAATGAGGGACCACACTTGATATGTTACGTGATTTAAACATTAAGTCAAAATTCCTACATCTGAATCTGACCTCGCCATTAACCTAAAGTTTATAGAAACACCGGAGATATAAAAACATAAAATAACGCCCTGGGGTTGCAATAAACCAAGTCCAGAATGGAGAAGTTTTTATTCGGCAAATAACCTAGTTCACTGGTGAAATAAATGACAGGGAAGAGGAGGGATAAAGCTGAGGAAAGGAACTGTTAGGAAACAGACTGGGCTGGTGGGAGGTCTCAGCAGGCGAAGGGGTTTCCTGCCGAGCCTGGACCCCCGGGACCCCTAAGGTGAAGGAGAGAACTGACTCTTGCAGTTGTCTTCTCGTTTACACACGTGCAACACGGCAGAAGGAGTTTTCAAAGGAAGGAAAAAGAGACTGAAAAACAAACAAACACAACGTGAAACCCTTACTCGGATTCTCATGTGAAGCAAGGATGAGCTGATGATTTTGAAAGCAAGAGAAGTTTGGACACAGACTGAATTTCAGAAGATATAAAGTAAATATTAAATTTTGTGTTTAATAATGGCATTGGGTTATGTCTTAAAAAGTCTTAAATTTGTGAGAGACATATATACATTATATGTGTGTATGTATATACACATATATGTTTGTGTTTATGCACAAAGTAACAAAATGTTTGACTTTTTCCCCCCCCGGTTTTTCTGAGACAGGGTTTCTCTGTGTAACAGTTCTGGCTGTCCTGGATCTCGCTCTGTAGACCAGGCTGGCCTCGAACTCACTGAGATCCGCCTGCCTCTGCCTCTCGAGTGCTGGGATTAAAGGCGTACGCTACCACCACATGGCTAAAGGTTTGAGTTTTAAAAAATTCAGGGAAAAAAAAAGGCTGGTGAGATGGCCCAGCAGGTGAGGGTGCCTGCTGAGAGTCAGATGACCTTGTGATCCCTGGGAGAACAGGGACTCATGAAGGCTGCCCTCTACCTCTAAATACAAAAGAAAGGGAGGGAGGGAGGGGGGGAGGGAGGAGGGAGGACAACCGAACTTACTTCAGAAAAACTGTGAAGGAGCTGAGAGGGAGGCAGAAGAAAGGTTGGTAATGTTAATAAAATAGCTGGAGGCAGGTAATGAATACCTGATGTTTTCTTCTTTCTCACAGTCGAACATTTATGAAAATAAAAAGTTAAAAACCATGGGAAATAGCTAAACCACAGAACATTCTAAGAGGGACAGCTATATAAACGTTTGAATAAAATAAATCTGCATGTAGTGGTTGGAACCTCACTGCTTCTTTATGTGGCCCCAAGGCTCCTAGCACTCTGAAATCCCAGCTCCCTCAGGGGGACATTAAAGAGAACAATAATGCCTCTTCCATAGGGCTGTTGTGAGTATTAAGTGAGATTAATCTGCATTTGAGGGCATACACAGAGGAGGTCCATAGAAAGAATTTACAAAGCAAACAAACAACCCTAGAAACAGTGCTATTACTGAAAAATTAAGCTGTGGGCTGGAGAGATGGCTCAGCAGTTAAGAGCATGGGCTGCTCTTCCCGAGGACCTGGGTTTGATTCCCAGCACCCCCAGGGTGGCTCACACCCAATTCCAGTCCCAGGACTCCAGCAGCCTCTTCCTGCCAGCACGGGTACACTGACACACATACTTAGATAAAACATTAAAACTTTTAAAATCAAGTTGCGATAAATATATAATTTTTACTAAAAAGGCAGTTTATGTATAACATGTATGTATATATTTGTATATAAACTTCAAACAGGACAGAATCATAAAACAGGATACATACCATCTTATTAACGCTGGGGCAGGGGGACAGGCTACATAATGCTTGTGAATAGAGACATTTACTTCCTTTTTAAAGGAAATTATTTATATGTATGTATGTGTGCCTGCTTGAAATATAAGTACATCACTTGCAAGCAGGAGCCTACGGAGGCCAGAAAAGGGCATCGGATCTCCTGGAAATGAAATTGCAGGTGGTTGTGAACCACCGTGGAGGTGCTGGGAACCAAACTGAAGTCCTCTACAGGAGCAGTAAGCTCTAGCTGAGTCATCTCTCCAGCTCTGAGACATTTACTTTGTAGTGTATACGTTTATGTCATGTTTAAATATGCTACAACAGCATATATTTACCTTGAGAATTTAAAATCATCCTATATTTTTAAATAAGAAACTTTGTCAGAATTTCCATGGATTCCTTAAAACTAGCAACACAACAATAAAATGTCGACAACAACTAAGCATGGCTGAGCTGGGGCTGTTCAGTGGCAGAGAGTTCAGGTAGTATGCTTAAGGTCCTGGGCTGGATCCCCACACTGCAAAGACAACTCAGAAAAAAAAAAAAAAAAAAAAGACAAATTAAACTCCCTAAGCTGGTCTAGTTTTCATACTGCTTGTCATCAGTATTTATGTGGCAAAAGCAGTTCTCATTACATTTGCCACCACATTAAGATTAAAAGACCTCCAGGTATGGTGGCATATGCCAGCACTCAGGAGGCAGAGGGCCGAGACAGGCGGATCTGAGTTTGAGGTCAGCTAAGGCTACACAGTGAGACCCTGTTTTAAAAAAACTAAAATACTCAGTATTTATTCTATTTTTTAAAGTTTGATTTGAAAAATATTTATTTTAATTTATGTGTATGTGTGTATGCCACATGTGGGCAGGGGCTTGGAGGCCTGGAACGGGCATGGGATCCCCTGGAGCTGGAGTTATAGGTAGTTGTAAGCTGTACAACGTAGGAACTAAACTTCCGTCCTCCAGAAGAACAGGAAGTGTTCTTAATGATGGGATACAGGCATGAATCACTACACCTGACCACATTTTGTATTTTAATGGCTTTCTGTAACAGTACTATCAAACTTGAATTTTAAGTTTCACACACACACACACACACACACACACACACACACACACACACTATTTGGTGTAATAAATACTGAAGTTAATACATGGAGGAAGCAGAACATCTGACAAAGGACTGGCATTCTCAAGGCATTTCAATTACTCACTTGAAAAATGTTCTTGGTCGACGCCATTACTGCTCCCCACCACATCACAGAACTGTGAGTTTGTGATCAGATTGTGCATTCCAAGAATAGCTGCAGAGAGAACAGAGGTTTTCACTTCTACCTGCTCTAAACTTTCATTTCTACTGTGTGTAGATGGAGTCTGCTGTGGTGCCCAGGCAGGCCTCTAACTCCTAGGCAGAAGCAGTCGCCTGCCTCAAGACTTCCAAGTATCTGTGACTACTGATGTGTGCCCAGTACCCAGTTTGCAAACAAAAATTTGTATTAATAATTTTAACATTCTCTAGACATTTTTCTATTAAATTGAAAATGGACTTTACAACCCCAAACAAGAGGACGGGTGGGTGTAGTGTTTAGAAATCACCGACAATTTCCCATTCATTTTCATCAATACCGTTGCTATTTCCCAATGTCTTAATTTAGACAACAGTGTGAGCCAGGCAGACCCTAAAGGGAACGCTATGCTTAGCGCCACCTGGTGGCTAAGAGAGGAAACGGACAAGATCTACTTGGCTGCTCATTGTCTAGGTTTCTAGGAACAAAACAGTCCAAGCACAGTGGTGCATGTGAGACTATACTAAAGTACAGTTAAGGTCGTTCATTTAAGGTAATGTAGCATCCTCAGAAACACTCAAATCTTTTGATGTCCCCTCTAATGAAAGTACCATCTACAAATCCACCAGTCCTTTGTCCCTCAAGAATACACCACCTTCTCTAGCTGAGAGACCACACCTCACTCTGCCCTTTCTAGGGCGCTTCCAAAAAACCTTCAATCTACTTTCAAACATGTCAGTTCTTAGAGTCCTCTGGCATGCGGTCTTCCACCGGGGGAATGGGTATTTCCCGCACGGTAAGTAGGGCAGAGTAGCCTAGGCGAACACTGGCGGTGTGGATTCAGGTCTGCAGCGCTCCCTGTCACTCTGGCAGAGTTGAGGACATGAATACAGCTTTTGATTTTTATTTACTCTCCATGAAACAGGGCAGAAGTTGACCCTGAAGTGTGTCTAGGGCTCAGACAGGACAGGCTCACCAGCTGGTGATATGGCTTTGTTGTTAGAAAGAATTTAAAATACAGTGACGAAGGAAAAAGTATCAAATTTTATCACCTTAAAATTTCACCATAGAGAGTACTTAAAAAGAACCTACTGCCCGGTTTTCTGTGTGAAGTGCAAAGTAAGTGTTTGTGTAGTGCATGCAGGTGGGCCCTGCGTGAGTCTTCCCACACCACACTCATTTACAATTGCTCGTTTGAGGCGATACCTGCAAGGTCACACAATTCTGTATCAGAGGCACTTGTCAAAGCTTCTTCTAATTCTGGATCAAGGGATATGTTGTCTTCTGTAAAAGACTGCACAGGTTTCTGTTTGGGGATAAAAATTTTCCCTGAAAAACAAAACAAAACCAAACCACACATTTGTTATTCATTTCTACTAACTCATTACCATCTTTGCCCTTCTAACAAACGTTAGGTTAGGCATGTGCAACTGAAATGGACAATATACTAGCGATATACTGGCTATAGACGTTAGAAAGGAAGAATCCCTGAGAAACTCCCCCATCTGTGCAAATAAAAATGGCTCTTTTTGTTTTCTGTTTTGTTTTGAGATAGAATTTCACCACGTGGCTGAGACTGGCCTAGAACTGGCCTTGAACTCATAATCCTTTCACCTCTGCCTCCTGAGTGCACAATGCTCAGTTCTTTCATGGAGCAATTATGAGTTATTTCACAAATTCTGAACCAATATTTAAATGAAGCTAGTTGAGTAATCGGAGCACTTGGGAAACTAAGGAAGGAGGACCCGAAGCCAGCATGGGCATAGTCTCCAGGCCAGTCTAGCACGAGAAAACAAAACAAAGTCTAAACCAATCAACCAACTGCACGAACTCACTCTACACACTCTCTCTCTCTCTCTTCTCTCTCTCTCTCTCTCTCTCTCTCTCTCTCTCTCTCTCGTCTATAAAACTTATAAAACTTAAAAATTAAAACAGGATCCAGTTTCTTCTTGTTAAGCTACAAACTGTTACAGTCACGTGAGGAACAGCAGACACAATTATGATTCCAGAATTCAAGTTCTAATTCTAAGGAAATTTCTCTATGTCCTCAGTAGTGTTCTAAAACTTTACAATTGTTCTTCTGAAGCAAGCACACTAACAAGCTGTGAAGTAGAAGCAAGAGGGTCAGAAGTTCAAGGTTAGCCTGAGATGCATGAGATACTGTCTCCCCTCCCACGGAAAAAAAAAAAAAATCAAAGCCAAGTTACTCCATGTCTCTTCTAAAAGCTCCCCATCCCTTTATATATGCCACTGTATACATTTCTATAAAGATTCTTAGGTTAGTTTTAACATAATTAAATATTTATTATTTGTATTATTTTTATTGATTTACTTTGTTCTGTTTGAGACAAGGTCTCTCTTTGTAGCCTTGGCTACTCTGGAACTCACAATGTAGACCAGGCTGGCTTCATCTCACAGAGATCCACCTCCTCTGCCTCCTGAGTGCTGAACCGTTTGAGAACATATCACGAGTTTCTTGTCATGGTCTGACAGGTGGACCCTGAGATTTTGGAGGAGCTGCCTACTTTTCTGTGAACCCTGAGTGACACCCCCACCCCGCCCCAAATACAGCCCTGACTACAAGCTCTCCAGGCAGCTGACAGCGTTTCCCACCTTCCTCTCTCTACTTTTTGTACCCTGGAGGACAACTGGACCTGTGCTTATCTCGTCTACCTTCTCCCCAGTGAGGGGGAGGGTGGCCTGGAGAGAGCTGTAGCTCTCTGCTGCTCTCCCCCAGTCTCTCCTAGCTGACAGGCAAGCCTTGGGGAGCTTTCCTCTCCGCTCTGTTCCTGAAGTACCATCCCCACACGAAACACAGACTCGCAATCTGTCTCTCTTGCTGCCCGGTGTCCAATGCCAATGGCCACTGGCCACATGGGGCTCTTATAAAACTTCAGCCATCCTTCCAGTGCTCAGTGGACACACCTTGTTGGATATCTGGACTAACGAGGATGGCAGATAGCAGCCAGTTAGAGTTTACTCTGTCTATTTTGGTTGTGACGGCCTTGCTGTGAAGTACCTCGAGAGTCCATGGGCAGGAGTCGTGTTCTCCAGTTGGTAAGCAGTCACTCATGAGAGCTGTGACCTAATAACATGGTGGCCCTGGAACGTGGGGTGGTGGGTGGTGGAACTAGTTAGAAGCAAGTTCCTGGAGCGTGGCCCGGGGAGGTCTACCCCACGTCCAGCCCCTTCCTGTCACGTGGCAAGCAGCTTTGTTCCGCAACAGGGCTCTCATCATGGTGCTCTGCTTCACCTCAGGCCCAGGATAAAGGAGCTGGTTGGCCATGGATTGACACTTCCCGGGCAGTGATCAAATATCACCTTTTCAACAACAGGGTCTCACTGGATAGCCCTGGCTGGCCTTGAACTCACAGAGATCCTCCTGTGTCTGCCTCCGTCTCCCAAGTGCAGGAACTATAAAGGTGTGTGCTACCACATCCAGCCCTAAGTTTTCCCTTTAAAAGAAACAAAGTTGTCTTGCTGAGGTCTTTTGTTAAAATGACAGAAAAACTAAGAGTGCGAGAATAACAGTTTTTATAACTTCCTACCTCTGAATTCAAAGCCAGGGATTTCTGATCAGAACCTATCACTGGGTGAATCCAGATGGCTTTGTATGTATTAGTGAGGCCATGTTAACTGCATACACGGCACAGAACACCCGGTTGAAACACAGAGCTTTAAGTCCTAGCGACAGCCGTGAGGATATGTTAATGACAGGCATACCACAGACCATCTAGTTGAGACACAGAGTCTGAAGTCCCAGCTACAGCAATTAAACAAGAGGAAGACATAAAAGGGGTAAGACCAGACATCAAACCATCCTTATTTGCAGACTATATATGGTCTTTCATCCCCTGCTCTCGTTTTTCAAGACAGAGTTTCTCTGTGTAGTCCTGGTTGTCCTGTAGACCTTGAACTCAGAGATTGCCTGCCTCTACCTCCCGAGTGCTGGGATTAAAGGTGTGTGCCACCACCGCTCAACGTACTAGAAAACTCTTAGCTCTAATAAACACAATACAGTTGCAGGATACACAATCAATATAAGAAACAAGTGGCCTTTCTATGTAGATACATACACCAAAAACGAACTCTCAGAGAAAGAAATTAGGAAAAGTATCTCATTTACATTGAGCTCCTTCCTCTGCTAAAAGTAGCTAGAAATAAACCTAACCAAAGAACTAAAGGCCTCCACAAAGAAAACCTCAAGACACTGAAAAAGGAAATGAATGAAGATATTAGATAACAGAGGATTTTCCATGCTCCTAAATTGGCAGAATTATTTGTGAAAATGGCGTTACTACCAAAATTAACCTACGGATTTAACACAATACCCATCAAAATTCAGATGCTATTTCACAGATCTAGGGAAAGAAATCTAAGGAGTCACATGGACTCAAGGCCACAGGTGGCCAATGCAATCTTAAAGTGTAGGAACAAAACTGGAGGTATCGGCGACCCTCAGATGACACTGCAGTAGTGACAAAGGTGGCCTGGGGATGACGGAAACAGACAACTGGAAGAGAACAGAGAACCGGAAATAAAGTGACAAAGCCGTGGTAATCCAACTTGCTGAAGAACTACTGAAGGTCAACTTTTTAGTCGAAATAGTCTCACTTTGTCAAAACTTGAACACGCTGGTTCAAAGGTGAGATAACTAACTAGAAATAATTTTATTTTATCAATAGGGGTGTTTTGCCTGTACCTATGTCTGTGCACCACATGAATGCCTGGGGCCTACAGAGGCCAGCAGAGGGCATCAGATCCTCTGGAACTGGAGTTACAGACGGTCGTGAGCTGTCACATGGGTCCTCTAGAAGAGAGGCCAGCGCTCTTAACCACTGAGCCATCTCTACAGCCCTGGAATAAAAGTTTCCAAACTCTTAAGCCAGTGCATCTTCCAACAAGTTGGTAGCTTAAAATTTTAATTTTAGTAAGAGCCCCCCCCCAACAAGAAAATGCCAAGCTAAATGGCAGTACGCATAACTGATCTCAACACCAAACTTTGGGATTCTGGTGATTAGATAATGTCTTTTTACTATTTCTTTTTACTTTATGTGCATGAGTGCTTGTTCACACATGTTTACATGTTTGTTTACATGTGCGTGTTTGGCGCCCACAGAGGCCAGAGGAGGGTGTTGGATCTCCTGGAACAGGATTTACAGTTGTGAGCCATTGTGTATGTTCTGGGAACTAAACCTGTGTGCTTTGTAGGAGTATCAAGTGCCATCTCTCTAGCCTTTTAGGTAATTTTTCATTATTGGTTCATAATTAAAGGCAAATCCAAATAATAGTGTCCTAAAATACTCACAGTGGTTACTATTATAATAAAAATGGTATTTGGCGGGGCAAGGAGTAGGGCTCAGTGGCAGAGCACGTGCTTATCATGCAATGCCTTCTACTGCCATTGCACTATCCCGGGCTCAAGCTAGCCCACATTCCCTGCTGTTTATAAACAGTGAATGCACGCTAGACTTGGCAACAAGTTTTGATAAATTCTACACTCTGAGTTCTCTGGTTAATTGGTCTGATGTGCTGCTGGGGGCATCTGCACTCCAAGAGACAGCAGACAAGGTTAAGAACCACTGGATTGTGGCATTCACTGGATCAAACAAAACCATATTTGCCACAAGAAAATTAAAAAATATGTCAGGCAATACATATATCAAATATCTTGATTTTGCCATTCTATCCTGTGTACATATAGAAAACCTTTTGTTGCATAGTGTAAATATATATAGTTTCTATTTTTGTCAATTAAAAAAGAGAAGCTGGTGTGGCCTTATGTGGGAGGTAGAGGCAGAAGATGGATATCATCCTCAGGTCTAACATATACTAAGTTTGAGGCCAGCCTAGACTTAAAAATATTTTTAAGACCCTGTCTTTAAAAAATAAAAATAGAAAAGAAAATGAGAAAGAAAACCACCCGAACTATCCAATAGCTGTCCACGTCTTAGAGGAACTGAAGGAATCTAAAGCATTGTAAAAATCTAAGATGTTTGTTTTTGTGATCCTTACCACATTTCTTAGAGGTATTACTATTTATATCTGATTTTCCCCACCCACAAACTTTTGCTAAAGCTTAAAAGCACAAAATAAATCTTAATAGAAAAAAGAAAAAGCAAAAAAAAGGCAAAACAAAATTTCTGAAGACCTATGGAAATTCTAACACAGATTTTTATCTTTATTTTTTGGAATTAAACTCATTTTATTAATTCTTTGATAAATAGAGACATGGTTACACATTTTTAAAGGCACTAAAGATAACAACAATCTCCAGGGGCATAATGATCTGTGATGAATTCACATTTCCTTCCAAGTTTTAAATACAA